AACTCTTCATGCAGGTGCTCCAAACTGTGTGAATCCACAGTGACAGGGGTGCCCCCTCACCTTCCTGCCCAGGCACCCCCTCAGGACCAATGAGCTAAAAGTGCCTCTTTATGTTCCTCCAAAACCGTGGAATCCCCTCCAGTAGTGGTGGGACTCTCTCTGGTAGGTTTTGTGTCCAGTTAATACCTTGGTACTAGGACAGGTGCCTCTCCATAAGCATCCCCAGTAAAGCAAAAAGATCCAACATAGTGCAAAACCGTTTACTTTATTAGAAAAGCCACACTACGCCAGTGGGAGGAAGTCACTGCACCAACGTGACGTAACGCGTAGATACGCCAGTCAGGGGTTCATACGGACCGCACAGTGACCATATCCTGGCGTGGGTGCCATCTTGGTGCACCCTATTAGGATCCACACAGGCAGTACACCTATGGTGTGGTGTAACAAACGCTGATGAATAGCTGCATAAGTGTGAGTAGACAACTGTAGTGTGGCTTTTTAATAAAGTAAACGGTTTTACACTATGTTGGATCTTTTGGCTTTACTGGGGATGCTTATGGAGAGGCACCTGTCCTAGTACCGGGAGGTATTAACTGGACACAAAACCTACCAGAGGAGGAGAGTCCCACCACTACTGCTGAGGAGGATTCCACGGTTTTGGAGGAACATAAAGAGGCACTTTTAGCTCATTGGTCCTGAGGGGCCTGGGCAGGAAGGTGAGGGGGCACCCCTGTCACTGTGGATTCACACTCAGTTTGGAGCACCTGCATGAAGAGTTGTTGTGTTTCACTTATTAGGACACTCAAGTAACTTAGTATTTTAGATGTCACTGGGAGTGACCACAGTACTATATTCTTACAAGGGATGAGATATATTGGATTAGCATATATTATATGTTCATTTGTATAGGAATTTGTAGCGCTGCACTGTTTTATATAATAGCGCAGGAGGTACTATATATCAAGAATTTAACATCCTCACTTACAATGCAGGACTGTGGCCCAACATTGTAAATAATGATAGAACAGCTGCAAATGTCTGCCAAAGAGAGCACCAAAGAGAAGAAGCTTTAAGGATCAGTCGTATGAAAGGAGAAGCCTGTGGTGGCAAGGGATATGGTAAGTAAAAATGCTTTAAAATGGTACCCTAATAATAAGAAAAACAAAAGTGTGTTGAACCCATGCAGTGCAAGGGAGAGTATAACAGTAACAATACTAAGATCAACCAATGCATGGTTCTAGACCAAAATGCAAAACAGAATACAACAGCATAAAGCATGTGACTTTACAGTCAATGAAGTAAATGGTTCTCAGGTATAGTAGAGCGCTGATAAATCTGCAGTGTGTGTTAGAATACATACCTGGATGCTCCTTGAGCTCAGGGTGGTCCTTCTGATACTCATCTTTCCTCTTATCAAGTTCTTGCTGGAAGTTGTCAAATTCCTCTTGATATTTGTCCTTTTCTTCTTTAGTGATCTCCCCATCAGCTGGAGGCTAAACAACATCATCTATGTCAGGTTACCATACAAAATGCACGGTCCACATGTCAAGCAGAATTCTGGCCATCCACATACACAGAACAGAACCTGGTTGCATTAAAAGTCACATTATTACTCTGTGCATTGTTAATTAAGGAGAGCTCAAGGAATGATCTCCAGAAAGAATTGAAGATGGTATGAGTAATGTGTCAAACGAGAAATTCGGAATTAAAAAAAACCCAAAAAAACAAAAACTTGCATATTCAACTAGGTGGCTGCAGCATTGGTTCAATGCTGCATCTGTAAAACAAACCCACCCTACACATACACACCTCTAAGACTATGAAATGAGTGATCAAAGACTGCTAATCACTCAGTTCTCGATCTTCAATGAGCAGAGAGCTGTTACTGTTAGTCACCGGCTCTCTGCTCTGCCCCTTCAGCATTCACAGGAGTGCTGAGCTGTGGGGGGGAGTGGCTACCTCAGGCTTGTCAGCTGTGAGCTGAGAGGTAGAGCCAGCTGCCGGTCAAAAATCTGGGTGGGTCCCAACATTAAAGTCGGGATCCCTGCCGACCCCAGACAGGCTGGGTGACGTCAGCTAACAGTGGAGTTTAGCCCCTTGTTGGCTGAATACGGGTCACAGGAGTGTAGAACTAAGTGTACTCCTGTGACCCAAAGGAGAAGTAGGGCCAAAAGAGCTTTGGCCCTACTTCCCCTTTAATTAGACTTTCCTCTGTGCTGTCCTCTCTTTGGAACAGATCTCACAAAACTGTGAAGGAAACACGAGATATCTTTAGCCTACTTCAGGTCCATACAAGAATTTTAGTGGAACTGGTGGTCTAGTATTCAAATGACTGCTAATTCCATTTAAATTATTAATTAAATTTAAATTATAACAAGGACAAGAAACAGTACAGTGAGAAAAAGTACTGCTGTGTTTTTTGGAGAGCTGTATCTTTCAGGAGACAGCATGGAGGTATGTCTAGTTAACACATTACCCATACCTCCTTTCTGAAGAAAATTGCTAAGGGTATGCCCCTTATGACCAGCCCTTAGGCCTGTCCCCAGCATTGAAATACAGTCAGTTTTTACTTCTGCTATGACTAGAGGCAGAGTGGCACATTGGGTTTTTACATATATTTTAGTAAAAATCAAATACTGAAATCTCATATAGACTTCACAATGTTAATGTAGTTTCAAATCATTGTCAAACTTTTAAGAAAATGCTCATCTCCCTGTTGTTCTGCATTATCACCCTGCACATGCTCCCCCAGAGGGCAAGCCAACATAGTACACTGTTGCCATCATCAAAAAACCCTTTCCAACAAATATGACACATTTCTAGTTTTCTGAAAAAAAATAAATACATTCCATACCAACATTTTTGTTCATAAAAAAAAAAAAAGAAACACTCACTGCCTCTTTGCTAGGTTCCGTTAACTGGAAAGTTAGAAAGGACAGGACATCATCATGATCATCTAAAAAGGAAAAAAAAAAGAAAAAAAGTTAGGATGAATAATAAACACAAAACAAAAAGTTGACCTGATTTTTTCAAAGCTACATATTCAACTAGAAATGCTTTTCTCTCCTGTAGGGCATCCAAGAGGACAGAGTGTGTATAAAGATACGTGGCATTCACTTGTAACCATGTCTCCTTATTTCTTGTATGAAATAATGGCTATAGACACTCCCTGCTGCAATATCAGATCTGAATGCTGTATCTGTGCTGTGACTCAATGACATTTTTTTAATTTTCATTGTGCCACCTTACATGATATGTCTACATCAGATATCCCCATCAGAGAGTCTACTTACATAATGGGTATCCCCATCAGAGCAAAAGTCAGAACAGAGGAATCGCGCGCTGGCTATCCCAGCTTCAGTCGATCCGGAATACAGCTGCCAGACTCATTCACCTTTCCAACCGCTCCATCTCCGCCACCCCCCTCTGCCATTCCCTCCACTGGCTTCCGATTGAGCATTGTTCATTCCAAGATTCTGTCCCCCTGTTACGATGTACCACGGACCAAATTCAAAATCCTAACGCTAACGTACAAAGCTGTCCACCATACTGCCCCGAACTACATCACTGACCTAATATCTCAAGTACCGCCCAGCACGCACACTCCGCTCCTCACAAGACCTCCTTCTCTCTAGTAACATGTTCCCTGGTCTCCTCCTCCCATGCCCACCTCCAGGACTTCTCCAGGGTGTCACCCATCCTCTGGAACTCCCTACCCCAACCCATCAGATTATCACCTACTCTCCTCTCCTTTAGGACACCTCTCACCCTGAAAACCCATCTCTTTAGGGAAGCCTACCCCACCCCCTGCTAACTGCTGCCAACCTCCTCCTGACTCCTCCTACCACTTGGACGCAAACCCATCCCCCACAGCTATCTCCTCCTGTACCACCATCCCCTCCCTCCTAGATTGTAAGCTCGAAAAGATGTGGGCCCTCAATCCCCTCATGTTTTGCATTGTATTGGTATTGTTCATTCACATGTTCTGTCCCCCTGTGTAATGTACAGCGCTGAGCGAACTAAATACTGTATAATAATAATAATAATAATTTGCCATAGGAAATAATAATTTAAATTTCTGGCTTACTGCCAGATGCTGCGGGGGGTGAGGCATGCTAGCAAAATCATTTGTTTTTAGGACACACTTGGTGTTGGGTGAGGAGGCTCTTTTTTACTGAGTAACATGTTACACCCTGGATACGAGTGTAAATGCCCATTTTTAGAAAAGGTGAACTTTTAGTGTTTTTTCCCAATACACGGAAAAATTCTTGTAAAAATAAAATCTAATTTAGGGAAAAAAAAATTATACTGTAATATATATATATATATATATATATATATATATATATATATTTATATATATAGCAGTAATATGGGTGGAGTGCACAAGGATGATCAATCACAGTGCATAACAATCAGGCCCTCCCAAAGGCCATATATAGAAAAAAGAAAATTGGATTGCTGCACAAAAAAAAACTTATTGTTGAAAAATCACCATACAAAGGGTGATCTAAAAAAAATGGACAAAGCCATAGATCCTAGTGTTTAACAAACAGTTTCGGGCTATTATGTTAATGCCCTTCTTCAGATCAGAACACATATTGAAATACAAAATGCTAGATAGATCAATATATACATACATCATCATTGGAATCAATTATGTAATTAACCACAAATTGAATGCACATCAGATGAACATCTTCTAATAAAGGTGGTGGCTTAAGAGTGAAAATTCTGTCAGGAAGAAACATCCCCATATTAAAGATGTGGAATGTAGATATAAATACCTATTATAAAAAGCACATATATATATATTAAGGAAAAAGCATTTTGTATTTCAAGATGTGTTCTGATCTGAAGAAGGGCGTTAACATAATAGCCTGAAACTGTTTGTTGAACACTAGGATGTACGGCTTTGTCCATTTTTTTGGATCACCCCATTTTATGGTGATTTGTCAACAATAAAAGTTTTTTATGTGCAGCAATCCAATAAAATCAAGCCCCTAGGCATGCAGACTGCTTCTACAAATATTTGTGAAAGAATGGGTCGCTCTCAGGAACTCCGTGAATACAAGTGTGGTACTGTGATAGGTTGTCACCTGTGCAATAAGTCCATCCGTAATATTTCCTGTTACTAAATATTCCACAGTCAACTGTTCGTGGGATTATAACAAAGTGGAAGCAACTGGGAACAACAGAAACTGGTAGACCACTTAAAATGACAGAGCGGGGTCAGCGCATGCTGAAGTGTACAGTGTGCAGAAGTCGCCAACTGTCTGCAGAGTCAATAGCTAAAGACCTCCAAACTTCATGTGGCCTTCAGATTAGCACAACAACAGTGCGTAGAGAGCTTCATGGAATGGGTTTCCATGGCCGAGCAGCTGCATCCAAGCCTTACATCACCAACTGCAATGCAAAGCGCCGGATGCAGTGGTGTAAAGCACGCCGCCACTGGACTCTAGAGCATTGGAGAAGTGTTCTCTGGAGTGACCAATCACACTTTTTTCTGTCTGGCAATCCGATGGACGTGTTTTGGGCTTGGCGATTGCCAGTAGGGTGCTTGCTGGACTGCATTGTGCCAAGTGTAAAGTTTGGTGGAGAGGAGATTATGGTGTGGGTTTTATGGTATTAAAACAGGGTATGCCAGGGTACTATGATTGGGCTTGGCCCCTTAGTTCCAGTGAAGAGAAGTCTTAAAGGATAAGTTCACCTTTTAGACAAAAATAATAAATGCACATTTGTTTGCAGGTGAAAAAAATGTACATTATAGGTTGCAGGAGCCTGTAAATCATTGCACCAGTGATCAGATTATTATTATTATACAGTATTTATATAGCGCTAAAAGGTTTGCTCAGCGCTGTACATTATAGTGGGGGACAGAACATGAGACAATACAGTAACAAAACACGAGGGAGTCAAGGGCCCTGCTCTTTCGAGCTTACAATCTAGGAGATCGCTAATGCCATGCAGGTCTCCTACAGACCTGTCAGAATATCTGCTTGCCATACAGGATGTACAAGCAAGCAGATATCCTGACAGGAAGCTTCAATGAACTACCACCATTGAAAACTACAAGCTGTCGGACCTTATAAGGCTGTAGGGACTTGCCGTTCATTCATTCACAGAAGTCTGTGAATGAATGATGCGGCCGTGTGGGCGGAGCTGCACACAGCCGCGCTGTTTTCAAATTTGACAGCAAGTATGGGGAGAAGTTTCCCCGTACTATTAGAGGGAGGTTAGGGCGGCGGGTGGCTGTGGCATGGGTTACCGTAAAAACGGGTGAAGCGTGACATTCCCAAAGGTGAACTTATCCTTTAACCTCTTCACGCCGGCACCTCCCAGCCCATTAAGGGGTTTCAGACGCCGGTAGGCAGGGAGGGGTTTTAGGGTCATGTGACCGCCGTGATTCGCTGTCACATGATCGGAAAAAGGTCCCGGTCGCAAGGGGAGATCGGGACCTTTCTGTAAGACATTGACATATGTGCTGGGAGCAGGCAGAGTGTGCGCTCTCAGCACATATGTGTTTTCAAATGGTACGCAAATATATGGCTGCTCGGCGCCAAGGCCCAGCCGAGAGGCCACATATTTGCGTTCAGTCGGTGTCAAGTAAGGCATCAGCATACCAAGACATTTTGGACAATTTCATGCTCCCAACTTTGTGGGAACAGTTTGGGGATGGCCCCTACCTGTTCCAACATGACTGCACAAAGCAAGGTCTATAAAGACATGGATGAGCGAGTTTGGGGTGGAGGAACTTGACTGGCCTCAACCCGATAGAACACCTTTGGGATGAATTAGAGTGGAGACTGCAAGCCAGGCCTTCTGGTCTGTGACCTCACAAATATGCTTCTGGAAGAATGGTCAAACATTCCCATAGGCACACTCCTATACCTTGTGGACGGTCTTCCCAGAAGAGTTGAAGCGGTTATAGCTGCAAAGGGCGGGGCCAACTCAATATTGAACCCTACAGACTAAGACTGGGATGCCAGTAAATTTCATGTGCGTGTAAAGGCAGGCATCCCAATACACACACACACACACACACACACACACATATATATCTGACCAACCTGCCAGGCCTCCAGTAGCTGCAGATATCCCAAAGAAGCCTTGCTGGGGCATAACCATATTGTCCACTTTTGCACAGAGCTCATAGTCGTCCTTGTCAGGTGTAAAGCCGTTGTTAATCATTACCTACAGGAACAGCGCGACAGGAAAGTGTTCAAGGAAAAGATAAAGCGGGTTTATTTATACCAAAAGCCACGTATACCATGAGCAGGAATACTCACTGTCAAAGTCTTCCTGTAGTAGGTGATCTTTGCTCGAACTGGGTAAGGTTTGTTTCGGAAATCTCTCTGACAATAGGACAGTGCTTGCGAAGCTCCATCGCTGCAAATATACACAAAGCACCTATTAGTGCCATTTCTGTTAGGCCAAGTTTTCATATGCAGCCTACCTTGTTGCCCCGCTTAAAAGTGATCCCTGGTGGATTGCTTTTCAGAGATATATGACAGGTGGTAAGGATATGCTATAGCACCTCCTCAGTGCCTGTTTTAACCCAGTAAGGCCTGCACAGTCTTGAATGTGTCAAGCTCAGCGGTGGTACTGCCAGCTGAACATGATAGGGGGTATAAAAGTTGCATCTCCCGTGAAGCAGAGCATCATTTGAATGGGCTGCTGTAGCTGTGAGCAATGTGGGGAAAACAAGCCCCTGACCTTTTTGTTAAAAGCGCATTTAAAAGTACCGAATGGTACCATGCAGTTTTGCGCACATGAAAACGTCATTCTGCCAATGTTGTGGGGGTGCCATTAACTGGTTCCCGCCAGAGGTACACATACATGCAGCCTCTCGGCAGGTGGGCTTTAACAGCAAGAGGTTGTATGTATGCGGCCCTATGTAAGTATTTTTCCTGTTTTGAAAGCACGCTCCCAGCACAGCAACTAGCGGGAAAATCCCCAAATGCATAATTGTGATTGTGAGTTTTCTGATCATGTGACCACTGTGACTGCCAATCACAGCACTCACATAATTGGAATGCCCGCCTCTGCCTCCCAGCATTTAGAACTTCTTAAAGGGATAGGGGGCGGTGGCGGTTAAGAATTAATGGCACCCCCCCACACATGCTAAAGAGCAGTGCTATTTTTCTGGGGGTCGGGAATGAGCGGGATTATGCACACGGTCCCTACACACACACAAGTGAACCTAGGCTTAGTGAACACCAACAACTGGTGGAGGCCAGCCAAGCTATCTGCACCCTGAAGAAACACTTAAAGCAGGTTCCTAGTCAAAAAAAAAAAAAAAAGACAAAAAATAGCCCATTAAAAAACATGATAAAATCAGCCTTTTGCTTACAATGTTCATCTTCAATCCAGAGGCTTCTACTGCTAGATGTCCTCGATCTGAAATCCAGCATCCAACTCACTTCCTCTGAGCCCAGGTTATCCTGGACTGAGCTTTGTGGGATCGGACAGTGAAAAGGAGAAGCAGCACAGTGATGAGCTCTGTCACTGCACTTGCTCCTATCAGCATGTCTTTAGTCAATAATGAACAGATTAACTTCTTGAGCTGCTTCTTTCTTCCACATGCCAGCCCAGCTATATATATTGATACCTGTTGATCCTGCCAGAAATCTAATGCCCTTGCAAAAATTCCTGTGCACTGAACTGAAATCTAAATGTTGGCAGCCTTCCAAATTCCAAATTCTCTTTTTGTAAACTAAAGAGCACCTCTCATGGAGGTAGAAGTAGGGGGGGGGGTGTTTGTAGTCCAAGTCAGGAGACAGCGTAGGATAGGCAGTGTGTTACTGGCAGAAGCAACAGAGAAAAATAAAAGGAAAGCGCTTGAAAAAAGAAAACTATAAGCTGGAATATATTACATTTCTGTTTGTGGCTTTAGATACAGTATGCTTCAATGGACCACAAAACTATCAAAACACATAATTTGTAGTAAAAAAAAATAAAGTAAATGTTACTTCCTAGTCTTTGGCAGGTAAAACAGTAATGCGTTCAAGTTGCCCGTTTAGCTGCCGTTCTGCATCCGCTCTTTAGGCCCCATTCACACTGGACCATTAACTCTGTGTCCCGCGCAGGGCCGGCAAGGGGATGCACAGGTGCACCGTGTATTCCCGTGCCGGTGTCTATTGGCATATGCAGCTGAACAGTCGCTGTGTCTCTACATGACATGCAGGTGCGGATCCCCAAATGTGTTGGTAAAGGATGGCCCTGTACGGGGCAAGGAGGTAATTGCCCTTGTGAATGTGGCCTTAAAATTTTCTACACAAGAATCACTTTTCAAGCAAAACAAAAAACCCACACCCAGAAAAACTTACTTCTGATGGTCATAAACAAGCTTTCCATTATTTCCCACAACCAAAATCATCGGATTGTTTTTTCTGCAACAAAAAATAAGTACAGTAAATATTTGATATTTCCTTGCATGGCCTATGTGGATAACAGACAAAAGGGTCATGAAAGCAGACTGCATGTATGATTTTCATTGCAATTTTAGATTTTCCCATTTTTTCCCCCCTCATTATTCCAACCCCACCCCCATATACTCTCCTCCACCTTCCAGCAACGCGGCAGTTACATCCCTCACAGACTACTGTCATCTTCTCCCAACTGCCAGATTTTCAGCCTCTTGATTGGCCTGCAGAGGATGAGGTCATCCCACGCATGCGCACAGGAGTCAGCCTTTCCAGCACAACTGAAGTGTGCCAGGTAAGCACACTGAGCTGCACATGTGAACAGGCAGCCATGTTTGTAAAACTGCAGAAGAGACCCAAATTTGAATGGTCCCCAGTTACCATTTCCACTGCGATCGCCTAGGTGACAGGTCGCAGAAGACTACAGGGCCATTCACAAAGCACAGCGCTTCTCGCACATGCGCAGTGGGCACCTGGCTGGGAAGCCGCAAGCTGTCACAGTCGGGTGCCCACATTGAAGATGCCGGTGCCAGGGAGAAAAGACGGCCGGTGAAACCACCAGTGGGTGAGGACACCGCTGGACCCCGGGACAGGTAAGTGTCTGTATTTTAAAAGTCAGCAGCTAGTTTTTGTAGCTGCTGACTTTTTTTTTCAGGTGGAACTCCGCTTTAATTGTAATCACATCTGTATTTATAGTTTCAGTATTGTTGCCATGCAATGCTCCACAAATATCTGTCAATGCTTCCAATGAAGTTCATCTCAAGTATGTTTTTGTGATAGGGTAACTTTGCTATGGTACTGCTGCTGAATTCAAAGCAACGTTGTCACGATGTATTGGCTGTGCCCGTGTGATGAGATGTTGCAGCCTGTCAATCAGCACCCGGCCACACCTTTCTGGACTGGCAACACTGCCCATGTTGCTAAAACCCTCCCACTGTGAGCCGCAGCGTCAGAGGGGAGCGTGCGAGACACAAATGGAGGATTTGGGTCAGTTATAGAAGGTAAACCTTTTTTTGTTTACTTTTTCAGTCTTTTGCATCAGAGTAGTAGTTGAATTCGGTAGCTATTTAGATAGACTTTAGATGTACTTTATATGCCATCTTATATCATGCATTAGCTGTGAGGTTTTATAAGGTGTCTATTAGCGATAGCAGAAAAAGGAGCTGCTGCAGGAGGCGATAAATAAAAAATGTATAGGATAAAATATAAACTCATGAAAAATAGTTTAAAAATACACTAATGAGAAAAATATTGAATGATAAAATAATTAAC